AAGTGAAATGAGAAATTCTAAAATATTAATGAGCGATAAAGTACGTTCATCCTTTGCCCTAAGAGCGACTGCGACCGTGTTTCAGGATGGAAGAAAAATTCTTAATAGCCGGAGTTGCGCTATGAGACCATAAACACAGGCCATAAACCACGACTGGCGAACGAACAGCGCGCAAGATGCCGATTTAACTGCCCCATCTGTAAAGTCTCAACGTTTACGGGGCGACGCGTTTCCGGCACGTGATCCTCTGTCGAAATTTGCAATTTCGTTGCGTGCCGACGAAAGACATAGAAGAATACTTGTCATTCTCCCCCCGTTTCCGGTTGCTGTGGACAGCCACCGGTGTCGATGGTCGCGTCGAGAATTGGTCGGTACGTTCAGCTGACAAACGAATTCTTTTACGAGCTTCCGGTTGCCCGATGGAACATTCGAATCGCTTTTGATACGTGTCGCTGAACCCAAGAGATGAAATTTGGTTGCTTAAATAGGATACAGTGACATCTGAATGACCAGAGAACTGAAGAAAAGTCTGAGCCGAGGTATGTCTAGTTTGAGGTTAGGTTAACAGTAAATCTATCACAGTCCAGGAAATTAGTTTTAATTGTCGATAACTAAGCATCTGAGCAAGCAATGAACAAGTGTAATTCTGTCATGCGTAGAGAATATAATATATAATTGTTTGGTATTTCTTGGTTCTTTTATTTTATTTGTTCCACTTGTTTGAGATATGGTAGTTCTTTTTGTTGAGAAAAAGTATTTCAATTATATTCATGTATTTAATTCGCATTATCTTCAGTTAGTTTTAGTAATAACGTTTTTTGTTGGATAGCTTAGTTATCTAGGGGTAAATTTTGTATTAAATACTTTGTGCAAAGGTTATAGCTTTTGTCAGTTGATTTCATGTATTTATTGGTAGAATATCTATATCTTTTCTTACTCTGTGTCTTTTATTTCACTGTTATTTGGCTGGCTGTGGTAGGTTTAGTGTTAATTCTTGGTTTATAGTTGTTATTTGGGGAAAATGTTCAGAGAATAAACCCATTGTACATTTCTTTCAGGAGAAGTAATTAATTCACTTATTAGAAGACAAGCACTGTATCATTAAAAGTATAAGACTTCAAATTTCTTCTCAAATTCCACAGTGTCACAATGATAGCCACCTTTTTTCACTTAGTATATTATAAATAATCTGAGATCACTTAATAGTTCACAAATACAATCAACATAAAACTAATATTAAACAAAATTGTAACTAAAAATATAAGCACCTTTCATCTATAATCAACACTAAAGACACTCACAGAATAATAGTATAGAATATGCTGTACAATATAATATGTGTTATCATTTTGTCATATCCAATCTTCACATAAAGTAGACAAATTCCCAAAACATAATGTAAACTGTGATTAATCTCTTTCTATATTATTAAAGAATATCCTGTATATGAATAATTATGTAACATCTGCAACTACTGTGTATATTAATGCACACACTGCAATAGTCCCAGGAGACTGAAAATAACGAGATATACTATCATTATGTTGCATACTCATGAACGCCCTCTATCATCTCCGTCCAATTAACAACTGGTCAACATATGAAACAAATGTCAGCTCAAACGTCAACTCAAACAAACCCGAACAATCCAACAGCTTCTCCATCACATGGATTCGACGACTCGCAGTTCCAGTGCAAAATTAAACCGTGAAGCTCGTAATTCATGGAAAGTGACCGCGATGAGAGGGGCTGACTGCGATCCACGGGCAGGAAGTTCGTAGGATGGGCTTGATTCGAGTCCAGAAATGCAATGAAAATCAGTCTCAAATGCCTTTGCACTCGTCTGAACGTTCGGTAGAACTTTTGCGCCGCCCGGCCCCGGATATCCGGTCCCGGATTAATTCACGCGCCTTCCCCCTCCATCTTCCTCTCCACGCTCCCTCCATACCTATCCCCTCTCTGTCGGTAAATCGGCCAAGCAGGACGACTGCTCGAGCGTGATCGATTTTATCGGCAGGGACAACGCGTGTCACGAATCTCGCGTGAGATTTGATGCAAATGAGCTGGAATTTCGTCACGTGGACGTTCCATGGTGGAACGTTGTAATGCTTGCGAATCTTTTGGAGATCCCGGATCGTCCATTTTTAATTATTATATGGAATGGAAGAGAATTTGAAAATTTCCTCGCGAAATTTCTCTCTTGATATTTTGTTTTATATAAATGATTTGTAATTTTGGGAATTAATATTTAGGGAAATTGTAATTTTTAGTATTTTTTAAAGAATAATATACAGTGTCAGAGATTCTGCTCATCTGCATCAAATCTGAAAAAGCGACTCACGTGTCCTCGTGCACGTATGCTGTGATAAAGTCTTCAGAAAAATTGTGAAGGGATGTTAGATAGTACAGGACAATTATTTGCTATTAATCTGCAGGCAGTTTTGAGTACTTATTTTTAGGAATTGACTGATAGATGAAAGTCCTTTTTTTTATTATTTTTATCTAGTACTTTTACTTCCTTTAAAATAATTGATGAGTTTGTAAGTTTGTTCAGATATGAACTTTTATGTTGTATTGATATAATATATACACGGTGAAGATGTAAGGGCAGGTTGTATTTATTATAAAGTTATATCACTGGTTTTATAACTTCAGTGAAACTCTAACTTCAGCTTCAGCTTACAAAGCTGAGGATTATTAAATGCAAATTATATGTGTATCTAAGGTTCTATATGCATTGTAATATTAATTCAACGAATAATTAATTTTAATACACGAAGCATATGTGGCGTATAAAAATTGTAAAGCAAGGCATTGCTTAATTAATGATTGTACATTAATAATGATTGTAAGCATATGCTTGTACTTGGAAGAAACATACTAAGACTTTTCAAGTATCACAAATGACGACTGATAGGTTAAAGTAATTCAACGAAATTTAAATCTGAGATTTTAATTTCATTGAATTGCGAAGAAACAAGAGTTAATGAAAATCACTTGAAAAATGTAAATACTAAGAGCATAGCGGAAGGGTATATTTGTCTGGCAGAAATAAGGGAAAACGTTCGTTGAAAGGAATGAAGAACAGAAGCAAGCTCTCCAACTTCTGAATTTGTCAACATCGCTAAAACGACCAGCCTCATTCACCTGAAGTCACTGGAACTCCTTTGCTTCATGGCTGTTACAAATGTTTATTCGTGCTTCTGTGCTTCTTAAGGCATCATACTTCCTGAACAAAGTAAAACAAATGTGCAAAGTAAAATCGACCGAGACTTTTTCCCGTAGCATTTATATTTCAAATAACCAATCAAGGACTGAACAGAGTTTCACGTTTCTTTAGACGATAAGGGTGTACCTGACAAAATTTATTCGCGAAAATTCGTCGATAGAAGAAGAAAATAAGAAACAGAAACGCGAATACTGGTAGGAATTTTCACTTTTGCAGGTGACTACTTAATTATTAATTGTCAACGCTAACTTTGGGCTAACAGGTTGGCTTTTGTGAAAAGAAATCAACCTTTTTCGTTGAGTGTAATAAATTCTTTTTCGCCGAATTTGATAGATAGAACGAAATTAAATTTCACGAATTTAATCAAATTTGGTAAAATCCATCTCTTCATCCCTTCACAAAGAAATTCCTAAGAAAGAAAAGTTCTGTGAGCGAAATTTACTTTATTTGACACTTCTTTGAACGACGTATCGCATTCTGGGTAGCCTCCAATGAAAGTCGCTAATTAATCAAGCCACACGTGCACGAGTTTCTAGGAAAAGACCAAAATTCCATACCTCGATATGCTCCAACGTTGCAAAGGTGGTTTGGAGTAACAAATTCGCTTATTATGAATGTTGTGCAAGCTATTGCTTCTGGTTGGTGACTCGTAATTGGAGTACTTTACATTTTTGTTTATATTTTGACGCATTATGAGACAAAAGCGATGCTGAATTTTATCGTCGAATCATCCCTTAACTATTCCCATGTTCACGATTTAGTGATTCGAGAGATAATCCAGTTGACAGGTTCACTGATCATTGACACGTTCAAAGTCGTGCGAGAAAGATACTTAATGAAAGTTAGTCGACTCTGTATCATAGCATTAGATCAACCAGTTGACACACAATTTGTTAGATACAATAGTTGAAACTACTTCACTCTACCTAGGCTATCGATTTTATTCTGCATCATTTTAGACACACCGAGTAGTTAGCCTCATATCTAATCACTGCATGTATAAACGTTGTTTGAAACGGACCTTGTACATATTTTACAATCTCGAATTAGACAAAAAGGATTGGCGAATTCGATTCTTCAGAAAATTCTACCTAAATTTCTTATTAAAATATATTTCTATATTTTAATAGCTGTAATCCATCCTCATGACAGACCACGTGATCTATGACACGCAACAAATGATATCAGAAATATAAAAGGTTCACAAAATACAGCCTAAATAAATTCTAGCTAAGAAACACCATACTGGAGCTTCAGAATTTTCCAAAAGAAATAATCCAATAACATTCTCTCTCTTCTTTCTTCATCCATCACAAAGATCAAGCCAAATCCCAAGCTTGACACTGGAACTGCCAAACCAGTCAGTATGTCTGATTCCAGACTCTTTGGTTTTACAGTTATTAAAAATGTACAACTGTCTTCAAGACAATTATCATCCACTTTTATTCAGACAGGAACTTCAACCTTTTGCAGACAGGTCTGTGGTCACATAAGAATACACTCTGGAGGAACCAAGCTCTGTTCAAGATAGTCAATACAAATATAAGATGCAGGAACTCTAGATCAGAGTTCACAGAGATTAACCGAGTCTATCCATACACAGACACGCATTCAGAACTGTAAAAATGCTCAGATGATCAACAGACACATCTGCAAAGGATCAACTATCTGTCTATGCTATATTTAGGTACATAGGTTGGTAGTTGCAGTATCAAATACTTCTTCTATCTAACAAATATTCTCGCGACCCATCTACACGACTTAGAACATGTCAACAGCTAGCTCCTCCAGTTGCTTCAGCCAAAAATTTCTTCTCAAACACTCCCCATTGTCATCCTCTATCATCCTGTCGCTTCCTCTTATTCTTTCAACCACCCTCGAAGGAGTCAAGCGATATCCAGCCAACAGACCCCTGCTCGACTGACAACGAGGTCCATTCCCTTGGCGTATCCCAGCCTGGCAAGTCGGACAATCGTTCGGCGAACGAGTCGGTACCGATTTCTCCGGTGGATCGCAAGTGACAGCTTGCTCGACGCGACTGTTCACGGGGGTTTCCCCCGCTAGACGAACTGCGACGGGGTTTTCCAGCAGCTCGCGCAACAAGGCAGGGCGCTCTTCAGCGTGTCCTTGAAGGCCTCGCGGAAGTCGCGGTTGAAGTACGCGTATATAAGCGGGTTCAGGGCGCTGTTGAAGTAACCTATCCAGAAGAGGACGGAGACCACCGTCTCTGGACAGTAGCAGGCCTCACCGCACAGGGACGTTGTTAGATACCTGGAAAAAATAAATATTAGGAGGTTAGTGGAGAAATATAGAGAGAGTATACAGATAATATTGTAGATGAAATTTGGGATAAGGTTAGGTTAGGTTTGGGTTGGGTCTTTCTGTTTAATTCGTTGATGATGCTTTTTGATGGTGGAGGTGTTAGGTTAGGATTGGATTCTATTTTTAGGATAAGGTTAGGTTTGAGTTGGGTCTTTCTGTTAGTTCGTTGACGATGCTTTTTCATGGTGGTGGTGTTAGGTTAGGATTGGATTCTATGAATTGGTCATTCCTGTGTCCTTGCAGGAAGAAAAAGAGAAGCAGAAGAGAATAATTATAGAACTCAAAGTTCTTAGAATTCATGAAACTGAAAGTGGGGACATACCCTATTGGTCTAGAGTGATAAGGTTCTCAATGCAAGTTCATTTTTATTCTATATTTTTTATTATATTCTATATTATTATCATTATTCTAAAAAATCATTCCTTTAGAAATTTTGGTAAGTGAGAAATTTGAAATATTTAGAAATATTTTTTTTCTTTCTTTAATAAAACAGCGGATAAAGAAGCCCATATAAAATAATCTATCAACATTTTCTAGGATTCCCTTTCCTTCCACGAATTTTCCTTGTTTTTAATAAATTCACAGCATGAAGCAACACGTTGAAAAATTTCTATACCATTATAAAATAGCAAAGTGCGATTCGAGGTCAGTTTATTCATTAGAACGAATCAAAAGTAGTTTAAAAGAGTTTCGTCTGTGCCTCAATTAAATGGAATTCCTCATACAGAACAGTGCTCCTTGAAAACCATTGAGACTAGCGTTCGAAAGGCACCATTCACTACAGTTCATCCAATTTTCATTGAAATCTGTTTATTATATTTCTTATCCGCAAATTGCAATGTAAATACGTGTGCCGCTTTAATCATAATGAGTATTAAAAACAGAAAATGTATCGTAATTGTCGATTCAATTTAGGAGAGATTTATTCTACGTGAAAAAATAAATTAAAGACGTAGAATAAAATTTTTGTATACGAAGCTTCGTTTTCGAGAAAATTCATTAGAAACATTGCGTGGAGCTCGAAAAACCTAACCTAATTACGACGCCTTCCACCGGATTTCACCATAACCTATTACTCCACATACACACTTGTCTTCATAAATAATGTAATAATAAGTTGTATATCATCCTTGACACTTTATTTTTCCTTTCGCAACCATTCAATAGCCATTTATTTTATTTATTTGCCAATATGGCTGCCAATGGCAACTGCAAACCATCAAATATTTACACTCAATTTTCTCGAAAACGAAGCCTCGAATAAAAAAATTTTGTTCCACATTTTCGATTTATTTTTTCACGTACAATTACCGTTTCCACATTTTTATCCATTTTACGCAACATTCGGTACATTTCTAATCCTGAAATTCGAAATTTCATTTTTCCCGATCATTTATTCCTCTTATTACCGATATTATTTTAACACCAGTGCAAGTGAGCTCTAAAAGAGTGTCGTATATTACGACACTTGTTCATTGACAGTGTTTGCACCGGGAAATTCAATTTTCCATTTTCTCTGTATTTACTCCCCCAATCCTATGGGTCGTTAGCAACGATGTTTGTTACGCTCATTCGACGTAGGATCTCGTCTCATATTTCGCGTCGAATTTCCACGCTATAGAAAGCCTGTACAATCTTTTAATTCATTTCGATGGAGGGCCAGCGACCAGGAACGAGACCTGGGTCGGAACGCGGCGTCCGCGTTCTGCCATTTTAATTAAAAAATTGTCCACGAGCGCGACGCAGTCGAAACGTTGGCCCCAGCTGCACAAATGAGAATTCATTGCACCAGCAAAGAGTTCCGCGATGTTCCAGTACATGTTCAGATTAGGACACGCTGAACGAGATATCAGGTTTGTTTTCTAGGTATTCCTGTTACTGGTAATCATTTTGGACAATTATCGCGAGATATTACTATTTTACTGTGTTTTTAAAATTTAGCTGTCTTTAAAAATTCATTGCTGTTATCTTTCTACCCTTTTCATTATGTCCATCATCCCTTACTCCATTTTTGTTAACAAGCTCAGTGGGAGATTTAGGTAAATAAAAGATGTGAGAAAATTGGAAATTTTCCAGTATGGTATATTATATTTTTCCGAAATTTCGCTCCTCAAAAAATCCATTGTTTCTGAAATTTAATAGTCTCTAATTTTGTACCATTTCTACGACGTTCAGCATCCCTTATGGCATTTTTTAAGTAGATTTCTGAAAAATTTGGTCAAGCAAAATATGTAAAAAAGTTTTCAATTCTTTCAATATAGTATATTATATTTTTCTGCCATTTAACAGTCTTTAGAAATTCATTATTAGTAACTTTCTGTCATTTTTATCACGCTCATCATCATGCCTTATGCTATTTTTTCAAATAGCCTCTTTCAACAATTTTTAAATTCCAGTAGAATTTACATCTATAGCAGTTTTATTTGTAGCAGTTATATTTATAGTAGCCTCTATAGATATAATCTAGATAAAATATGATATATTATATTTTTTTGACATTTAACAGCCTCTAAAAATTCATTACTATCAACTTTCTGCCATTTCTACGTCGTTCATCGTCATTCCTTATGCCATTTTTCAAATAAATGTCAATTTTTAAATAAATTTTTTCAAATAGCTTCTTTCAACAATTTTTAAATTGCAGTAGAATTTACGTCTATAGCAATTTTATTTATATTAGTTATATTTATAGTTATATTTATAGTAGTCATATTTATAACATCTATAGCATTTTGTCAAAAAATATTTAAAACTGTCCCAGTACGATATACCATATTTTCCTAAAATTAATTTCCCTCAAACATCCATTATATCAGCTCTTTACCATTTTCATCATCCCCCATTTATACGTTTCGAATAACTTCCAGTCAAAGAAAATACGTAAAACCATTCTACTCGAATTGTGGGAAATTTAACTAGCCCGAAATCCATTACCTTTTACCATTCCCACGATATTCATCATCCCTTATCCCATCTCCCCCAAACGCGTCTCCCCTTTCTTAATACCAGCACCTGGAAGCAACCAGTAGTTCGGCCCAGCGAAAATGGAAACTAACGAGATCCGCGGGGCCGTAAATTCGCAGAATATTAGGGGAGTGAATGAAAACCGTTCGTCGACACCTGTTTAATTCGCAGATGAAATAAACGTTCGGCTCTCGTGGAAAGTTGGGTCCAAAGAACGGCTGCAAACGTCGGAGTTATTACGGGGGATTTCGTTACTCAGCTTCTTGCTGCTCGAGAATTGATTACACTTCGACGATAGCCGCGTTAATCTTCGAAATGAATTAATGGAACCTGGAAAACTCTCTGTGGAGAGTAATAAATTCCTTATCGTTGAGGAAAGGCTCGTAGTGGTCAGCCATTTGAAGAAGTTCCGATCTCGGTGATGGTTTCTCGTCTCGTGTGTCACTTTATTTCGCTTTTTATTTTTATCCTTTAGGTACTTTCGGATATTTATTAGATTCATGATTAAATAGACGGTGCTTAATTGCTCGACCACGGTGATCGATTGCAATTTTTACTCTCCTCCACGAGGGGACTTTTGGTTGCAGAATGAGATTAATCTTCGAGCTTCTTCTCCAGTTTGACATTTATCCAGTTTACGAGACCCTGATTTCCAAGTTGCGTATCAAATTGTAACGAAATTAGGTTGCTGGGGTTTATTATACTGCGATAAAGTGGATTGAGACGAATAATAAGCTTATTACTATTTATTGTAGTAATAAGTTTATTAATAATTTGTTAAGTAATAATAATAAGTAGTAATAATAGAAATTATAGTAATCTTAAGCCTGTTTTCGTGTCTTACGTGTAAAATACTAGGAGTGTTTGTGAAATGTGTGAGAAATAATATTTAGGCAGTAGAATTTAATAAATATGGAACACCGAGTAGTATTTAAATAACGTTATTTAATTAATTATTAACGTCGACATACTGTATAAAATGTTAAGTAAATTTTTGTATTTATTCCTCTACCCCCAAAAATTCTTAAAAATTTAGGAATTGTTTAGAAACTTAAGTATTAAATTATATTTTATAATTATATTTTATATTATTAAAATTTTTGTAATTACATTATATTATATTAGATTAAAATTATTGAAATTTTTCAAATTATATTTTATGTTTAATAAAAGTCAATTAATAATGAAATAATAAATAATGAATCTTCGATATTATTTAATAAATATAATAAGTATTAAATTCGCAGTGTTTAAAAAGTAACCTAGTAATAATTTTGTATTTTTATTATCCACATATTTTTTGATAATATACAGTGTTTGAATAATTCGTGTAATTTTTATGAACACGCAGGTGTCGATGAGGGAAATAAATATCAAGTATCATAATTTAGTTGGAGAATGCTATTTGTCATATTATGGTCATTACACGAATTAACAGAGGATTGTAATTATTTACCACTGTTTATAATCGTTCGCATCAAAATAACAAGCGTTTATTTGCAAACAGATAAATGGAATCGCAAAGCAATTAAACGATCAGGCACCTTTGCCATAAACAGGTACAGTACATAATTAAATAACACAATAATCAAGTATCTCCTCCATAAATGGATAAATGTAATAATGAAGCGATTAAATACCTGTTAATTTATTTACAGATGTAAGTAATTAGAATAACGACGTAATTCGACAACCGTCATTTTCACGAATAAATTACATTATCAAATAATAAAGCAAAACGCAATTAAACAATAAAGCAATCAATGTTTCCAATTATTCTTTCTTCGTAAAGAAATAAATACGAGAATACAGGAATTAAAGAATTGTAAATTTTTCGTCACAAATAAATTATAATTTCCCTATAAACGAGCTAAAAATAAAAGGAAACTATAAATGATTCAGTATATTGTTCATAAACGAATATATGGAGCAATGAAACGATAAAAAATCATAAATTATTAATTATTATCACTGCAAATAATTGC